GGGGTTATTTAGCCTAAAGAAGAGGTGGCTAAGGGGAGACCTGATCATTCCCTACAGCTCCCTGAAAGGAGGTTGTAGGGAGGTGGGTGCTGGCCTGTTCTCCCGGGTAACTGGTGACAGGACAAGAGGAAATGGCCTCAAGTTGCATCGGGGGAGGTTTAGATTAGGTATTAGGAAAAACTTCTTCACTGAAAGAGCGGTCAGGCACTGGAACAGGCTGCCCAGGGAAGTGGGGGGGTCACCATCCTGGAGGTGTTCAAGGAACGTGTAGACGTGGCACTTGAGGACATGGTCTAGTGGGTACGGTAGTGGTGGGTTGGTGGTTGGACTGGATGATCTTATAGGTCTTTTCCAACCTTAGCGATTCTGTGACTACGTAACTACAACACACAGACACACGTTCAGCAGCAAGGGACCACAAGGTAGCTTGCAAATAAGCAGAGGCATACGCTTTTGCCCTTAAGTTGGCAGTCAGCCAATCTCGGTGTCAAAAGGCCTGCATCATTTTTCTTTTTATTAAAAAGTTTGCAATCAGAATTACACAGCGACTCTTAGAGACTAAAGGCAGTGTCCTGTGTGCGTACAGATAACTGAAAATATTAAATGTTCCTGGCCAGAATTCAGATTTTTCCATGTTAAAATAAGGAACTATGAAAAGGGGATCGAGTCATTATGTGTTTGGACAGTACAAACACTGAAAGTTAAAATAATGAAAAATATACTCACACATGCTGTATCTCAAGAAAAGAAAGCAATACAACTTAATGCAATGTAGGATTTAATAGACACTCTTACCTACTTTAGTTTCATGATGTGACTGAAACAAATGATTGGTAAAAGAACATGGATACTAAACCTCAGTGATGTTTCAAGAAACAATAAAAACAAAACACAAAATCCAGCCTTAAAAATATAGACAGCTAATGAGTTCTCTGCAACAGACTAGGATGAATCATAAAGAAAAGTGTACAGGATACACAGACTTGAGTGACCTTGTAGGAAATACGTCTTACCCCACTAACACTTTCCTCTTTGCAAAAAATATATGGTAAGGTCTACACAAAAAGAATCTACCGTCTCCCATCAGCTATTTCAGTTACATATTTGAATAAACATCCGAAAAGCAGGATAATTCATCTCCTGAATACATGCATAACCTTTCAGATGTTACTATCATACACTACTTCCAGAGTAAAAACTTATCTTCTGGAATGCGATAAGCCTGTTCTGGTATATCCAGCACTCAGTAGTGTAGACCATGTCAGAGAGACCATCCTGATGCAGACTGACAATTCTTAAGAGAACACATAGCATGTAAATAATAATCACGTTAAGCTGACAATCATATGTAAGTCTTGTCATTTATGAATATCATCACCCAGTGAGAAGACCAACATGCTCCAAACTTGCAGAGCGCTTTGATGCTACAAACATTCCTCACTGACAGGCCATGTCAGAATTGTTGTAGAGAAAAAAAGCCTGTCCTTCTGGTATGGCATCGAGGCCAAACAGCTACAAACACTCACAATACTGTTAAATCCAACCAACAGCTCAGCAAAACCAAGATCATAAACAGTAAGTGGTACTGAACTGCACAAACCCTGAGGAAAATTTGCGAACGCCAATACATTGACTCTCACCTGCATGGACCATCAAAACCAGCATATGAGAGGTGGTAACAAATGATCCTCTAGGAAGCGTTTGGGAGCAGCTGTCTCCCCAGTGCCCTCTTCTCTTAGTGGGAAAATCATTAGCACACAAGCCAGAAGACTTTACCTTGTTGGAGGAAGATGTTTTCTCCAGACCTTTTGCATTTTCTGACTTGCTGTTCTTCTCTGAGGAATCTTTGGTTTCCATAGATGGTTTCCGGGGTTTTTCAAATATGTTAATCCCCAGGATTTGTGCTACTTTGTCAAGCTCAGACTGCTTCTTGTCAGCTGCATCAGATTCTTTATGCAGCTCTGAAATCTCTTTCATAATATTCTCTTGTAGTCTGTTCACCTCAACCAACAAGGGGTCTTTGTGTCCATCCTTCTCACGACGTTTTTTCCTCAACATCTCTCCTGAACCAATCAAGGAAGTAGAAGAGTTGGAAACGCAACAGGAAAATTGTCTTAAGATCTGTACAACTATTCCAGCAACAAGTAAAATACTAATATAAGGCATTACAGCTAAATCTTGACTAGGAAGTTGTAAAGATGGAACTGATGCTCAGATACAGCATCACTGAACCTGCACAATCCACCTCAATAAGGACTGTCTTAATATACACCCCTAACAGAGGCACCATAATCCTCAAGAGAGAGAACCAATTTAATAATCACTGTCTTCCCTGTGTGACCAAATAAGCTAAAGTTAATCATACATTCTAACCTGAAAGTATAATCTTCCAAAGCTGAAGAAAATTACTATTTACCTGGACCAAACAAAAGTTTTTAAAATAAAAGAAGTTAGCTCTGTCTAGAGAGGACTCTTCCTTCTCCAAATAAGATTCATGAAAAATTGAAAGGCACAATGACGTGCCTTCAGTTACTATTTCTCGCTTCTTCTGAAGGAGCACTAAGTGCACAAAGTGCAGTTCGTTTCACTTACTGGCTGCCAAAGAAGAGGCAAGAGCAACAGTTTGTTTCAGTGTAACAGCCAAATTTTGACATAATTCATTTTAATATAGTAATTAGGTCACTGCTTTCTCAAGAGTTCTGCATTGCCTCAAGTATGAAAATTAGTTTTAAACTTCAGACTATTACTATTTTGGTCTTCACTTCTCCTGGCAGGTACTAGGACTTGTGACACATCCCAGTGGAAAAAAGAAAATAGCATGGGGGAAGCACTGTACCTTGCTGTTTGCGAAGCCTGTCCAATTCAGTCTTGAGATAGTAAAGCTTCTTCTGCCGTGCTTCTCGTTCATTCTTCAGTTTTTCTCTCTCTTCTATCACCTAAACAGATTGGAAGGGGACTGGATTTTCTTCTCTTCTCAACACGAGTTAGTTGGTCTTGCAAGAATGACAGCAAGACCTAAGTTTGCCAGTCACAGAACACTGCTCCCTCTTCTCAAAATAAGCGTGGGTATTTTAACACCACAAACACACCTCTTGCTCTTCCTCTGCATCTGCAGAAAACTGTATCAGGCGCTCACACTTCAACCCTATACGAAGGCAATTTTTTTCTTTTCGGGACTGTATTCCCCAAAACCGAAAACTTCTTTCAGTCTCCTTCCCAGCTTCATTTTTCAAGAGACAAATAACCATTTTTTTACCTTCACGATGCTCTTAAAGCTTACTACTGACTCCTCCTTGAACAAACAACTGACCCAAGTCCTCGTCTTCACTAGAGAATCACTGTGGCAACGTACATGTTGGCAGGATCCCTACCTCCTGCCTGAAGTAAGCACAGGAAGGAGTTCTACCAACAGTTAGGCCATGTCTTAAATGCCACAAATTTCAGGGGTTTTTTTGTGTTTGGGGTTTTTTTTTGGTTTTAATCACCAAAACACCACTCTCTCATTCTGGGTTTTCTGCCAGCACAGAGGGATGAACTGCAGCACACACGTTTTTGTACTCTTAGCCATCCCAGAAAAAAAGTGGTGGACTAAGCCCAAGCCAAAGACTTTTGTAGTGCAGACAAAGCCCTAGAAGTTCTGCCAAGATGCACAGGTGAGCTACCAGGGTATGTCACGGCAGGAGAAAAGCACACATCTTCAAGTGCCATTTCATTAACACCACCATTTCAACTGTGTCAACCGAAATTATTACTTCTGCAAGCAGTGAAAGCTCACTCATCTGCTGAAGTAGCACTTTGTGTAAGTATTCCTCTTTAAATCACTTCAAACAAAATGCAGGGAGGTTATCTCAGACCAGAAATTTAAAGGAACTTCTTTTGATCCTCTCCTGGATTCAGTGGTCCATCTTTCCATGGCCTGGTTTGTTCTGAGGAGTGTGCTGTAACTGAGCAGGGAAAAAGCTTCCAGCCTCTGCCAGGTGCGGCTCTTCTACTAGCAGATCTACCAACACAAATCATTAGCACAGCTACACTGAAAGAATATCTCTAATGCAGATATGCGTACGTCGATGAAAAAGTAGGTATGAGCTAACAATCTGCGCTTGCAGCTCAGAAAGCAAACTCTCTCCTGGACTGCACAAAATCCGTGGCCAGCAGGTCAGTGGAGGGGATGCTCTGCCTCTACTCTGTTCTAGTGAGACCTCACCTGGAGAGAGTACTGCATCTAGTTCTGGGGTCCCCAGCACAAGACATGGACCTGTTTGGGCCACGAAGATGCTCAGAGGACTGGGGCACCTCTTCTGTGGGGACAGGCTGAAAGAGTTGGGGTTGCTCAGCCTGGAGAAGAGAAGGCTCCGGGGAGACCTTACTTCAGCCTTTCAATACATAACAGGGTCTTATACGAAAGATGGAGAGAGACTTTTTACCAAGGCGTGTAGTGATGGGACAAGGGGCAACAGTTTTACACTAAATGAGGGTAGATTTACACTGGACATAAGGAATAAACTTTTTACAAGGTCGGTGAGGCACTGAAAGAGGCTGCCCAGAGAAGCTGTGGATGCCCCATCCCTCAAAGCGTACAAGGCCAGGCTGGATGAGGCTTTGAACACTCTAACCTACTGGAAGGTGTCCCTGCCCATGGCAGGGGTTGGAACTAGATGGTCCTTATAGGTCCCAAAAAACCCCCACTAACACCCGTAACCTACACTGGCATCAGATGCACCAAGTAGAGAACAGTTTAACTTCTTCTTATTTTGTGATTCCTATAAGAGATAATTAATACAAATGTAGAGGGAAAATTGTATGCAACTGTGAATGACAACACCCTTTAGCATGTACTTAAATATGTCTAATATAGGTACAACCATGGTATTATTGTACCATGTTCAGATGAAGCCTCCTATATTTCAGTTTGTGCCCAGTGTCTCTTGTCCTGCCACTGGACACCCCTGAAAAAAGCCCAACTCTAACTCCTTTATACCATTCCTTCATGTATTTATGTATCTAGATATCTTCAGGTATTTCAGAATCTAAAGCTCAGCAGAATAAAGCATAGCTGTGGCCACCTTGTGTTTTTTTCTGTAAGTTTTTAGCTGGCCCCAAAAACTTCAGCTTTGTCCCTGATTTCATTGGTTCAGCCACAACCTATGGGCATACAAATCTGAGGGTTTTAAACAACCTTTCTAAAACTATCACAGAGTAATACAGACAAATGCCTAGAAATCTTTAACAAAATCAAATTTAGTCCAACTGCTTTTAAAATGGAGACGCTCAGTAAAATAAAAAGGCGCACCTGAAGAAGAAAAGTTTCTACCCTGGCGATCAAGCAGTCCAACATGATCTATCACAATAAGATAACATACCTTCTGCTTTTGAGCTGCTCGATTTTTTTCATCCGACATCTTTTCTGTGGTATTTTTGAGAGGGTGTGAAGACAGACGAAGGGGTGCTTTGGAATGAGCAGGAGTGGTAGGGACATGAACGAGCACAGAACTATCTCTTTTTACATCAGGGACATCCTTTCCCATAGAGACTGTCTCAATCACCCGGAGGTTGGGACGTGTGGGGTTTGCTGACATGGCCATAGTAAGAAGACCATGAGCTTCTGGCAGTGTAGGATTAGGCTGCTGGGCAGGGGGGTACATGGTCCAGCCAGGGGCTGCATACGCCATATAGTGGCCATATGCATCATATCCTGGAGGAGCCATTGTGGGAGGTGGATAGTTTTGAGGCATTTGAGTAGGAGTGAACTGGGAATAGTTGGGAATTTGGTATTGGGAAACAGAAGGGGGTGTAGGCGGCAAACTAGCAGGTGGTGGTGGAACTGAGGGAATGAGCGAGACAGAAGGAAGAGGCTGTTCTGGCGCACAGGGAGGTATATCCTGTCCGACTGGCTTGATCTTAGTATATTCTGATTTCTGAAGAGTCGATGCATCTTTAGACTGCTGGAAAGAGACAGAAGGTGATGCTGAACGCTGCTGGCCTGACTCGGGAGAACGAGTGTCACTCCGACTGCGACGCAAGTCCCAGTGGTCCAGTCTGCGAGTATCTGAAGAGCGACGATCAGGAGAACGAGATGCCAACTTTTTGCCATGAAGGCGTTCCTGGGTACGAACAGCAAGTTTTCCAATTTCAGCAACACCAATGTCAAGTCCAATGGTTTTGAGTAAGTCATGGATCTTTGCATACTCAGCATTGGGCTCTTCTGAAGGATCCAGCTTGACAGCTGGAGCAGGAGAAGGAGGTGGGGTCACTTTCTGGCTTATTATCTCATTGCCACAACTCACTGGGGGCTTCTGAACAGGGAGAGATTCAGTTTTGGTGTCTTCATCCTCATCACCATAAAGAAATTTCTCTTCATCCTCAATGTCAGGGAAACTACGCCTCCTCTTCTCCTGAGCACTGACAGAATCAGCCATCATGCCCAGAATACGGGAGAAACCACTACCATCCTGACTGGCTCTCTCGTGAGGAAGCAGAAAGTCAGTATGGCGATCAGCAGGCTCTGACTTGGGTTCTACCTTCTCCTTGTGACTTAAGAAGCTTCCAAACTTCTCTTCAAATGTGAAAGCATCTTTGGGAGCCCCAGAAAGCGGGCTCCACTCATACAAACCGTCACGCAACTCCTTGTTTGCAGACTCCACAACAGTGTCTTTGTTAAACCGTTTGAGAAAGTTCTCCACTTCAGAGGCAAAAGGAGCTATGTCATTGCTCTGGGGCAAAGACGCATGACTAGAAAGAAGAGGAAGATCTTTGCTGGGAGCAGGACTGCTTGAAAAGCCCTCAGGCTGAAAGAGAGAGAAGTTCCTATTTACTACAGCACCTTCTGAGGCAACTATGCATCTCACAGAACATACATAGTAACATGCTAATTTCTCTTTGAGTTCACAGCTGAAGAAAAGAGTTAGAAAAGACAATATACAGTTGAAAGAGAACACAGAAGATTACAAAAGTTGCCTACTAATGATTTTAGAATGTTATGTCCAGCAGTGAACACTTATCTCAAAGAATACACAAAATCACAATTATATTTCATTAATTTTTTGCAAGTATAAGAACTGAAACTTTTAAATTGTAACCCCGTAACATAATTTTGGCTATACTTTGTGTTTAATCAGAAACAAATAGGATTTCAACACCTTAAGGCAGGTAAAAACAACTGCACTGGGGTTATTTCCAGACAATTATTCAGATATGCATGATTTATGGCATGTTAAACAGGGTTTCCAATAATAGGTATAGAATGGGATCCTCAGTATTGGAGCACCTTCTGAGATAAACATGTCACTGTCAAACCAACAGTGATCCGTACAACAGGCAAGTCAAAAGTGATGCGCTAAAACATGAGAAAAGCCAATTTATCACAGTGGTCACAACTGTTTATATTTCCATTGCTCTGATTCTGAGACTCAAATAGCCTGGGTACAAATTAGGTAGGGTTAATCAAAGCCTACAGTCCAAAGGGAAAAAAAAATAAGGAAACTCGAAGATGTTTTCAGCCAGAGGTACTGAGGATGCATTAGGCAGTTTTCTAAGCCTATAAAGAAACAAGAAGGAGGCACTGTGACAGGAAGAGAGAGCTTTGATCAACGACCTGACTGCCTGTGGTACAAAAAGACTCAGCTTTTCTTTAAAAGTCAACCCAGATCTCAGCATCCTGACAATTCTGTGATTCTGCGATCCTGGGATTAATTTCAACAAGGACATTTTACTCTGCCTCTTATTTTATATATATATATAATTCTTGATTAAATGCCTTCACCATTTAAAGTTTCTAATGCAATCCTAACTTGTATAAGCCTGCAAAAAGATATTTGTCCTCTCAAAGACAAGAAAACGTAAGGATTTGGCTTTTCTATTCTAGAAATCAAACTAACATTCTGTATCATGAAGTGACTGTTTTAAAAAGTAGAAAGATATAAACAGATGGATAGAGATCAAACCTGAACTGGAGACTCTACTTCCATCTCCACTCGTTTCTTCAAAATAGATTTTTTGGGCATGGATGGAATTTCCTCAGGCCTGTATGTATACCGAGGCTCAGAATTCTGTAGTGTGTTAGTCAAGCCAGGGATCACATAACCACTGCCTGAAACATCATGATTCAAGTTTCTACTACGCTCTTCTTCTTCTCTTTTCCTCCTTGCACGGTCAAGCTCTCGGAATTCTTCATTCAGGTATGATGGGCTCGGGCTTCTACTGCGGCTGCGGCTTCTTCTGCGATAGTTTCGTGTTCCTGATGAGAAACCCTGATACTCTCCACTCACACCATGCATCTTCTCATCTTTTTCGTACCGTGGTCGCTTTATTTCTCGGCCCCTATCTTCTGGCCTCAACGGGTAGGAGGATTTCCTGAGTTTGTCACCATCTCTGTCAGAACCACGAGGCAGCTCTTCTCGACGACCGTAATGCGGACTATAATCTGAACGATGGAGGAAAACATCTCGGTTGCGATAGTCTTCATCATGTCTCACAACGAAGGGACTTGAAGCCTGATCTTCATGTGATGGGTATCTCTCGAGGCCTCGAGGACATGAGAGGCCTCTATTGAATATTGGACCGTCAGCCATATCATCCCTGTGTAAGAGAAGCATAGAATAAACATAAGTTCTTGAGTCAGAGTAAACCAAGTCTTACTCCTACTATAGAGCAAGAAATTTCCACATCAGTTTCAAAACAACATCTCCACCACTAAACAGAAGCAATATTTCATGTACTTAAAGGGCAGGGGAGAGAGGGAAACATTTCTGAAGGTACTACACTTCCCTCCTAGGAAGTCACCTGCAAACACAATGACGTGAACAATTCAACTCATCCTGCAGAAGGAGAGCCTTGAAAAATTGATAGGATGGATTTAGTTTTGTGAAGGAGAAAGACTACACATTTTAAAAAGACCTTACTATCATATTTCAGACTACAATCCCTTTCCTTGCCTCTCCCAGCAAGAAGCCAAGGTCACATTTCATATGAATTATTCAAGGTACAAGCCAATTTCACACCAGCAAATGCAACCAGATCCTCTTTTTATCTTCAGTTGTGGACAAGGACCACAGCAACATTTTCTGCTGCAACAAATCTGTAGACAGGACTGTCACTAACCACATGAACTGCTACACCCAAAAAGAAGCACACTTTTTTGTAAGATACCTATGAACAAGGGATAGTAAATGCGATAGTATCACTCCTTTGTGCCAGCCCCTGCATTATTACACACAATGGACGTGCAACGGGCACACCACCAGAATAACTAGCTTCATCTCTTGAGTATCTTCTTCTGGCCCAATTCCCACACACACCTCCAAATAGAACTACAGTTTTAACTAAGGCCTTTTTCCTCATGCCTAAAAACTGTTCTGGAACTGTTCTTTACATCAGGCAGAAACAAACCAAACCATTTTAGAATCACCAGCTGCTGGTCTGCTGGTTTTACTCACAGGTATTTCAAAAATCTAGCAAGATCCTCCAAGCCTGGGAAGCAAATGTGCTCCTTAAGTGAAATCACTGGGACAGCAAACCTAGAGAAATGTCTTTCCTGAGTGATCAAGACACCCACTGGAGATAAACCATGTATGATTGCCTGAATCCTCAAAAATCACCTCCTCCTACTCAGTGTGCTGCTTTTAGTCAGGACAGAGTTCATTTCCTTGACAGCAGCTGGTACGAGGCTGGTTTGGATTTCCCCTGAGAACTGTACTGATAACCCTGTGTTTGTAGCTGGTGCTAAGGAGTGCTTGTACCAAATCAAGGACTTCTTCAGCTTCTGATACTGCCCCTGTGTTCCCGACTTTTTCACTACAAGCAGTGGGGAGGGGACACAGTTCAGACAGCTGACCCAAAGGGGTATTTCATTCCATAGCACGTCATGCCCAGTATATAAGCTGGGGGTGGGCTGGGAGCCATGTTAATTAGTTCATTAGTTAACAGTCAGTGGGTCGATTGGCTTTCTCATTTGTGCTCTTGCTTTTGGGGCTCACTCGAACTCTGCTGCAATCTCTCTCAGGCTGTGGGTCTTGGGCTCTCTGACTCTTGCTACTTGGGATCTGGCTGTGTATCTGCCAGTGGGTGGTGAGCAACTGTACTATTTGTTTTACTTTCCATTATTTTCATTACATAGTATTATTAGTACTGTTAATATTATTAGTGTAACTATTTTATTCATTTATACTCAGTTATTAAATTGTTCTTATCTCAGCCCATGAGTTTCCTTGTCTTTTCCTACGATTCTCCTCCTCCACTGGAAGGGGGGGAGGTGAGCAAGCTGTGGAGTACTTAATTACTAGCTGGGGTTAAACCACGAGACTCAGAAAAGTCCCTCCATAGGTCTGCGAAGGGATAAATCAAGTCATGCCAGATGACACCTTCAAAAAAATTTGCAGATAAACTGCAGCCCCAGTTTTTAAAGTCACCAGACTGAAGCATAACAGACATAAACAGACAAGGTCTTTTTCTTGAGTATTCTCAGAGATTACATGTGCGTATTTCAGAACAAAACCAACACAAAATTTAACTTTACCTCTAACCTGCATCATTGCAAAGCAGTTCATATGTTATTAGATGCTTTGTCAGTCCAACATGTTCTATAAGGCAAATATGGCATACACCAGTACCCAAAGTATTAAGACAGTTTCTTTCCAGCTTCCAGCAAACTACACACATCCAACCCCTCCAAAAGCAGAAAATATCTAAAAAGTAGATAGAAGTAAATTCCATACCTAAGTGTTGCTGTTCACAGCCTACATAAAGATATGTCTATCCCCAGTGTCACCCTTTCTGAGAGCTGGCTAAACCTATACAAGCTGCATGAACGCAGCTGGCGGAATAACAGATGTATTTCACCACACACCTTCAGCCAATTTTTGTGCAAATAATTTGCATGCCCTCTTGCCAGGTGTCACCGACAATTCAAATGCTCTGACTGCAGTGACAAAGCAGAAGGAATATTTACTCACACTCTGGAAAGAAAGGAACAGCAGACGTACTGTATTTACAACTAGAAAGATGTTTCAAATACACTTTAAACAATTAAGATGCAAATACAAACCCCAAAGATTAAATACAGGTGTGAGGAAAAGGATTACTAGCCTGACAGAAACCATGATTCCTTGAAATATGCTTTCTGTAAATACAGTCCAACTGAGATATGTGCCTCTTAGCTGGTTTGCATGCTTTTAGCCAGCAATGTCCACTACAAGCTACTGCATCCCTGAGAAAGGATGCAAGGTGGTACCACTGTGACCATCCCAATTCTTTCACAAACACAGAACCCATGAATTACTGGAATTTGCAGTTTCAGAGAAGAACAGACCACACATTACATAGACATGATCACTCAGAGAACGACTAGTGTAAGGTAAGTTTACTTTTTGGCATATTTAATCACACACAAAAACAAATAATGGTATTCTGCTGTCAGCAACCAACATGACTCCACCTTAACACACAGTCAGACAAGCTGTTCATTCTCAAGCCAACTGTGACTCTTGATATTATGCCAAAAAATGCTATTTCAGAGCACAGCTTAACACAGACCAAGTCTCTGCAGTGATATCGTCTAATCTTTTGGATTAACCTAAAATGAAAAAATTGGTGGGATGCTCTGTACAGCTTATGCCAGCTCGGACAGTAGAATGTCTTAAAAATACTGACAGAGGGAAAGATGGGAGAGGGATATTTTCTTCGCTTTGATAGATCAAGATTCTGGAAGACCAAAAAAACCTAATCCGCTGAAGTAGAAGACTGGAGCTGCTTAGGTGACCTTGAAGTCACAGGCCAGCAGCATTCAGTATGCTTACTTAGACACGTGCAGGAGGCCAGCTGCCCCAGAAACTGGGGCAAGTTCTTACAGATGTTTTAGGACGGACCTGCATGTGGACACACAACTGAGAAACTCTCCTGAGACATCTTGAAAATCCACTGCTGCAGGAGAGTCCAAAAGCAACCCTGATTTCCATCTTTTGGTATTTTATTTCCTTTATAGGCTAATGAACCTCTCTAGCATCCCAAGACCCTGCAAATTACAGAGAATAATTTTTAAATTGAGTGCTTGAAATCTCTGAGTAGTTAGCGAAAACAGCTGAGAAGAACTAAATTCAGAAATATTTGCTCCAATTACTTCAAAATTTGAAGTGACATCTTCAGCAATCACTCTGTGTTTCAGAGGGGATCAAAAATAAAGGAAAAAGAAATACATGATAAACAATGTTCTTAACCGAATACAAAATAGAGTCTTTTAAAATCATCTAAAATGGCTAAACAGTGAAGAAATTTAGAAGTCACAAGCAGTACCTAGAAGATTTAGGAAAAGCTAAGGGATGACTAGGTTGTCACACACTTTAAGTTTCTGGACTGTGGGCACCACTCAAGACAAGTGCAGCCAGGACAGATTGGACCCCCACCCAAAAAAAAAAAAAGGTAAATATAATCCACATGGAGTTCTTGCATACCTACACTACAAATATATGGGAAGTCACTTAAAGTCTACATGGTCTCATTTGATCTTATTCTCATTCTGATTCATTTGTCACTTTTACACCTTCTCAGGAGTCTATTCTGACCATTTTTTGACATTTGTGGTTCTTGTAAAAGAGATAAAGTGAAAGTTCTTTGCCATTTTCACTCTTACATTAAAATAAACTCCACTGTACCTGATGTTACTTCTAACCATGCATCGTAACCACGAAACAGGTTAAATATAAAGCTCACTGGAGGAAAGGAAGCCATGGGACAAAGAGACACCCCCCGCCCCGCATGTTCTTAATTTGCTAGAGCACTGCCAGTTCTCCTACATACCATTTCCTGCTCCTTCCAACCACTGTACTCGCCCTGGGCATACGCACTCATTTCATGCAGAAGACTGCAGGCTGCACAGAGCGTATACAAATTGAACAGTGATCCCAGGAGAACAGAGGTGAGACCGTAAAAGTGAAAACTAAACTCTCATTTGGTTTTCCACACCTGCCGAAACTTAACCTTACACTTGAGAAAGACAGGAAATTCACTTACTCTGCTCACTTCCCTCTTTTTTTTCTTTCTTTCTTTTTTTTTTTTTTTAACAGTTGGGGGTATTTGCATCAAAAATAGAAGTTACAGTGCTTTTTTTATGCTGGAAGCTTATGCCTGACCTGAAACTGCAACTATATGCTCTGGGACACCAACTATGCCATCTTTAACTTTGCAATTCAAGACAAAGAAAACAATCCTATTTATGGAAAGTCTTCTGATTTCACTTCTTTTGCCAGATTATACCTGTTTTTTTCTGCTGAAGGCAAAGATTTCCAAATAGTATCTACTAATATTTATACTTCACTGTCCATAGCAGTATTTTTCTCATAAAAATACTTCACTATGTTTTTCCCCAGTTCCAGTCAAGGGACATTAAGAATTCTAACACTTATTTTATCATGTATGAGACTGTCTGACTACACTTACTTCTCTTCTGCAGGGATTTTAATGTCAAAATAATAAATTTTCTTCAAGCTACACCAGAGCTTTCTTCTGGACAATACTAAAAGTTCAGGAAGTATTCCTCCCAATAAATGGGGAAGTTGAAGCTTTATGCTATCCATAAGCAACCTTCCCTTCAGTCAGGACTAGGTAGGTTCATAAGAAACAGAAGAAGGTGGCTGAAGCTGTGAAATGTCAAATGAAGCAGCTCCCTCCTGCAATATACTGTGGGCGCTTTTAGTTTATAAGGGTTTTAGAAGCAGTTGATGAAAATCAGAAAAGAAATATCCATTTAGAGTGACTATGAACACAGGCAGCAACTTCTGCTCAGGAATCCCCTGCACCACAACCTGCTGAAGGCTGGGGGAGTATTCCAGGGAAGCATCACTACATGCTTGCCCTCTTACCCTTGCTCCCTAGGCCTTCACTGGGCTAATCAGATGTTTGGTGTCACCCAGTACAGCCATTCCCATGTTCTTACTGTTGCACACACTTGAATCCCCATCTGCAGAGGACCATACCTGTCACTCAGGTTATCAATAGGTGAGCCCAGTCTATCAGGCAGCCTCCTTCGCTCTGGTGTGCCAACGCAATACCGGTCATTACCAACAGTAATCCGCAAACTCTGTTCCAGTGAAGACTCAGAGTGGAGACTCGGTGAACGTCTCTGTAAATTGAACAAAGAGTGCAAGCCCATCAATCAGGGAATTTTCATCTCAGCTATAGAAAGTCAAGTGACTCTGCTCTGCTTAACGTATGAGACTTGGGGTGGATGGATCAATTAAAAAAATCAAACTAGAAGAACAGTTGTTCCAAATATTTCAATTGTCTTTAGTTACTAATGAAAGAGGAGGGTACTGACTGCATTTGATTTCTTGCCCCAGCTGCGAATAACACACTCTATATTTACATTATCTAGAAGGGAAATTTTCAACTCAAAAGTACATTTCATAAAGCATGGTTTTGGAAGATGGAAAAACAGAAAGAAGTTCACGAAGCCCTAGGTTTGCTGCTTCTTTTTTTTCTTCTACTCCTCCTTTCTTTGTAGAGGAGAAGCAGCTAAACAAACATTGCATAAAAAACAGTGCCAGGAATTTCTTAATAAAAGTGTCTGGATTTCTGGCCCTTTCCAACTTTAGTAACAACATGAACCAAAGTATACACCAGGGTAAACAAAGATTTTCCTGGCAGTGATGTTTTCAAGTTTTTCTCACCTCATGCTGCTTTCAGCAGGTAAGCACAACGTAATACTGGAAACACCAGTGACTGTAGAAACACCTTCTATAATAGAATTCCCATTAGTATTACTTATTACTGGTAGAGCTAAATGAGAGCTAAGTAAAGTTGCCTTTGAAACAACTACAGCAGAGAAGGTCTGAGCTAACTGCATCTGCACAGACCATCCTTTGGACACATACTCCATACAGAAAATGTCATTACTGGTTAAGTTATGCGTAACTAGTTAGGCCTCACATCATTCTAGAATATTGCACTAGAATACGGGAATTATCAAAGTAAGGGGAGTTCCGTAAGAAATAGATGAGACTGCCTGAAGACAGAGATGCTTGATTTGCTTTTTTACACCAACGTGGTTTAGATTCTGCTGAACAGGAAGCAATGAACCAGCTTCATTTCTGCCAAACCAGTCATGCACTACATATTGCTTTCACCCCTGAAATCTGCAGCAGCAAGCAGCAGGTGCAGTATGTCGTCTGCATTCACCCTGGGAAGACTCAGCAAATTCATCTAAATCCTCCAAGAGACCGAAAGAAGAACAGTACATAATCTCCAACAAGAAAGCCAAAGAATTCCCCTACAAATTGGCCTGAACAAAATTTACCCACAGTACAAATCTGCACTAGAATCCATAGTGCACATAACTTTGTCCTAAGGTAACATATTAGTGATTTCTGGTTTGCTCCACTAATCTGAATCCAGCATTTATCACATTTTAATTACTTTCTAAGACCAACTGTGTCGTATCGCACAATACGATTCTGCAACAGCCTGGCTGAGATACAACAGATAGAAGGTCCCTGTGTCTCATACAAACACAGTCTGAAGGCTCACATGTGCCCAGCATAATACTGAGTTTTGACGGCTGCCTCAAGAAGTGATTAGGCATCTTCCTGCCATCAAGACTGTTGGCAAGGTGGCCACATACATGACCACATACATGTCTCCAGAAACTGGAGACAGAGAAGTGATGATTACATCTCAGAACAAACTTCTGGGCAAAGGAAAGAAATAGTTTACATTTAGAAAGTTTGGGATGTTAGGATTGCCTATGACTGCCATACAGATTGCCCAGAGACAGCAGTTGCAGCAGTACGTATTTGAACTTGACTTCCCCCCACACCCCCACCCCCAGTTTGAGGAAGTCCAGTTTTAAGAGCTTTTTCAATTTGGAGCACTGAACACCATCACCAGTGGTGCATTCCTACCTATGCACTTCACTGCATTTTCCTCCCTTCCTGTTCTGGTGCCTAAACCACAGTTACCATCGCCATATTATTGCACAGGTTGCATACCAGCTCTTAATTTCTTCTTTCTCTGTTGATCCAACATACTCCAGTCCTCTAGTTTCAGACAATTCTCTTACAAGAAAGCAAAGAAGCTGAGAGAAAATACAAAAAGAACAATCACACAGGTCAGCAGGGACAAATAACAGCAGCATGTGTCAGCCTTGCAAGAACGAATAAAGTCCGCCAAAATCTCTCACTGTACAACCCTGACCTTCCTTTCCTGCATCTCATTTTTCAACACTCGCCTCAAACCTTTGCTATCACTCCATACTCTTTCCAGTTCCCACAAAGTTTTCCCCAGCTACTATGAAACTAACACCATCCGTAATTATCGTGTCCGATACACAGCTCCACTGGCAGTCAGCAACCCAGTTATATAAGACAAAATGGGCAGTGATGCTGAAAACTTGGGAAGGCATGTGCTCCATCTGAAAAAAACCCAAACAAATAAACAAACACAACTCCCAGAATCAAGAAAATGGAGTAAGAAATCTGCTGCTCCTTCCATACTCCAATTCATATGAAGGCTAGGGAGAGTAACTTAGAGATTGTACTCAAAACTTTTCTGCATTTCAAGCCCACCCGTGTCTTCGTTCCACATCCTACACCTTCCACCCTTACCCATATAATCCCCTCCCCTCTTCCAAGTCCTCCTTCCTTGCTGCAGCTTAAATGCCTCTTCCTCAGTCTTCTGCCTGAATTCTCCTTTCAGTGACAGCTCCCATATGCTGCTTACTAACAAACACATTTGTGTAACTCTCCACATTTCCACACTTTGTATCCTCAGACTTTCAGAGCTGGAGGTCTTAAGTCGTAAAAATCTGAAAACCTGATTAAAACTTTCCCCAGTCATGCTGATCCAACATATCTGCTGTCTGCTGTGTTTTGATCATACTTAGTTCCACTGTTTGGAAAACATCAGCATAATTCCAGCTTTTATTACGCTAATTTTGTAAACAGTGCTTATAAAAAGTAATATCAACCTATGTATTTTATGGTTTATTACATCACTTTTCAAGAAGTAGTGTTGGTCAAATACCTTTTGGTGGACAAAAACTTCCATGGAAAAAAATGTGCACCGCATACACTCTAAAAATTATTTACACTGGGCTTCAGCATATGCAAGAGATGGCACAATACAGGTTAAAGAGCTATACTTAATTGTCTCACCATCCCCCTTATTGTGAGAGCTGCTTCCTAGAGAAAGGTTTTCCTTAAATGCAGCAATATTCTTGTAAATAAACAAAAAAGTCTATCTGGCTCAGCAGTTCAGCACTAGCTAACTCGCTAAAGCCTACCTTCTAAGATTAATGATTTTTCAATCCTCTTTCTCTGCAATCAGAACATGCAAGAAAATCAAGAATCTGAAACAATTCGCCGAGATGACTACTGTAACTTGAGCCAGAACGGTGCAAAGTAACACTGGAAGAATAGCTTTTGTCAAGAATAATGTTTGGGGGGGGGGGTGGGGGGGTGTTTTGTGCCTTTTTTTCTTTTCCCCTAAAGGGAGAGTGGGAGGCTTCCAATCAAAAACTCCTAGTTCCAATTTCTCCAAGTCTAAACCAACAACACATTCAGCATTCAAAGTTTCGCTACAGTCAGCACAGGTTCACAGCCTACCACGGACACAGAGAAATGGCACCGAGCGATGGTGAAGTCAACTTAGGGAAGGTCTGCTTCTGTGTCCTCAATTGGGACCACTAAAACTGTCCATCAAGCCACAACGCAAACTTACACGAATCAGATTAAAAGTTATCTCCTTTTACAAAAATCACTTATTTTCAACTTGGGTCTTACTAGCAATGCAATTGCAGGGCTACCCCACAGACAACTTATAGGACTGAGATAACAGTGAAATACAGTCCAAAAAAAAAAAATGCCCAAAGGCAAGCATCTCAGCCTGGCTTGGCTTACCTGTCAAATACAACATTATCTTCCCATACCTTCAGTACAGCTCACCTTTAAATAACAAGTAGCACCAAAAGCTCAATTTTAACTCCATTACAACCACTTGTGAGCTCTTCCATGGCTACAGCTCCAAAGAAATCTGTAAGGACCTGCATCTCCATTAGAAACAGAAATCCCCTTTCTCTCCTGGGTTGCCATCATGCAATGAATCGTAGCGGACTATGTATTTTTGTTGGACTGACTTTCAGCCACATCGTTTCCACAAATCAGCTCACCCTGCAACTTCACAAATACAAGTGTGAGCACAAGGGAGAGGGCAGAATATACCGCAGAGCAAGAGGAAAATGCGAGTGCAACGTTCTTCTCAGCTACACACAAGCCAGAGAGAGTGACCATGGAACCATAGCATAAATTATCATAGTGTGAAAATCTCTTCTTTCAGCACAATACAAATGCACAGTGAACCTACTACACATACAGGTAACAGTTATCAGGCAAGACAACCACTGCACCAGGGAGTAGCACGGGAAAACCCAAGTGAGCGAATGCCACTCACTCTAAAAAATGTACAGTTACACGTTTTGGTTTAGCACAAAGGTGTCCGCATCCAAGATGGTATCGCTTCACATACCAAACCAGAGTTTCACATGCCCAAATCGGATTTTGCCAAGACCGAGCGAGAAGATTGGAACACCTTGCGCACAGCTCCAACTACACAGCACTGCCTATCAAACAACCCCTCTCAAAGGTATGAATCTGCAACTGAGCCTCTCCTGTACGCCCGTGACAGCAGGAAGGACTCGAAGTACTCATTCAACATCCTATTAGAAGAGGTGTCTGCCCGTCAATTAAACAGTATCTATACGGCAACACAAACCAGTGTTAAATGGAGGAAGGCGACTAGTTACATCCTTTGCCTCGGCAAAAGATAGCATCATCACTGAGCCTTATCTAAAATGGCTCTGGCTGATAAGAGAGAAATAAAAATGTAACGGAAATTAAAGGGAAAACATTACTTAAAATGGAAATCGATGATTTTTATTTCCCACTTGGCTCTCTAAGCAATATCGGGGGGGCGGGAATCGTCTTCTCCCTTGGCACAAGGGGGGCCCGGGGTGGACGCAATTCTGCCTGGCCCCGCCGTGCCCGGTCCAGGCCCCTGGCCCCGCT